TGCTCACCTTCCATGCAGCTCACGGAGCCAAGCTGCTTTGTCTTTCAAAGATAGCTTGGGTACAAATGTCAGCATCAGATTTTCACCCTTCACAAACACTAAATTCCCTGAAAAAATTTTTTAGAGGAAAGAGCTGCAGCATAGCCAACCTTTCCCTCCTAGAGAGACGTGTGATAACTTCAGCTTTTGTTCCTCTGACCTGCCCTTGCCGGACTGAAAAGAGCTTTGAGCACACACCCAGGAGAGCAGGAAATCTCCCCTATGGATCACTTGTAAAATGGCCCAGATTGAAAAACACGCTGCAGAAAGAATGAAGCCTGACTGCAAAGGAGAGCGTTGTGGGTTTTTTTCTTCCCCTCTCATGAATAGGATTTCAAACTAGCAGCCAAAGTGAATCATTATACATCCTTTCCATATGCCACTTTCAATCAATAAGGCCTTATGCTCTGCTAACAATCATCCTAAACTATACCTATTAACAAGAATGCACATTTTCATAGTAATATTCCACGCACGTCACTGCACACAGACTGCAAACAGTCAGGAGTGATCACAGCTGAAGGGAGATGGAGTTTCTGGAACAACGGGCTGTGTGTGGACGTACACCACAATGTAGGGGCTGCCGCTCTTTCGTGTGTAGGCTGGTTTTTGTTTTTAGCAGTATGTGCGTCTACAGACGGACTTTTTTTCCTCCCTCTCAAGCTTAGGCTTACTTAGTGACCCAGCCAGTGTCTCTCCTGGTGACCCAAGGGTTCCTCAGAGGTGGTTGATGCACTGGGGATATGGTGCAGTGGCAGCCACAGGAGCATTACATCTGGCTTCAGCAGAATCATAAAGTGGCCTAGGTTGGAAGGGACCTTAAAGATCATCTAATTCCAATACTCTGCCATGGGAAGAAGGCATACCTCTCATCAGGTCAGGCCCAGGGACCCATCCAACCTGACCTTCAGTACCTCCAGGGATGAATATCCACAGTTTTGCTGGGCAGCCTTTGTCAGGGCCTCACCACCCTCTGAGCAAATAATATTTTTCCTAACATCAAACCTAAATTTCTCCTCTTTTAGTTTAAAGCCATTCCCCCTCGCCCTATAGCTATCTACCTGCCAGTCCCTCTCCTGTTTATAAACTCCCTTCAGGTACTGAAAGCCCTCAATGAGATCTCCCCATAGCCTTCTCTTCTCTAGGCTAAACAAGCCCAGCTCCCTCAACCTTTCTTCGTAGGAGAGGTGCTCCAGCCCTTTAATCATCTTCACAGCCCTCCTTTGGACCCAGTGCAACAGCTCCACATCCCTCCTGTACTGGAGATGCCAGGTCTGGATGCCGTACTCCAAATGTAGCCTCACAGGGCCAGAGTAGAAGGGGATAATCACCTTCCTGCCCTGTTGGATATCCCTTCAGTTTGGATGGAGAGTACTGACTGCAAAATTCAGCACATATCTGAACTAGTCTCTCTGTGAATATATGGAAAACTGCTATAAAAGAGGTGCTTTAGTGGTATGGTACAGGAGGTGTACGTTGTGTTTCCTACTGTCTAACTGTGATCACAGGGCACCTCAGTTAGCTAACCACTATTTATTTTATCTGTTTACATTGCAAACTCTTCATGATTGGTGTCACTTTTCCAGAAATACTGTGCTTGCTGTGGAAGTTATTGACTGAAATGCCACAGCTCAAGCAGCTCAGGACAGCCAACTCTTACACCGTGGCATGAAGAACTGGGTAGATTCGCCCAACTAAAGCAGAAATCTGTGTTTAAGCTGGCCACCCATGGCTTCTCTGCTAGTCAATGGAGAGCCACTCAATACAGTCAATGGAGTCTACAGTGATTCATCTCACCCTGAATAAGATAGTTAAAACAGAGTGGCTGAATTGCACAATAAAAAGACTTATTTCTTCTTGCTTCCTGAAAGCCCAGTGACAGCCTGATAGAAATGTCTTCTCTGTGGATTCCTGAAATGGGACAAGTTTAATCCCACCACTGCCCTTATGATCTTCCCTCACTCTGATGCTCCACATCCATCTCAGGCATTTATATCTCTGTACCCTAAGGTGCGCGTGGAGTTAGCTGAGGGATGCCATCAGTGGGTGATAATAGTGGTTTGTGGGCAGTTGCAGTAGACAATCTTAGTGGTCTTTTCCTATCTTCCTTTCTTATGATTTTCCTATCTTTCCTATCTTATGATTCTATGGTCCCAATGCAGCAGCCAAGGCCTGTGGATACTGCTGCATTAAAACAACAACAACTTTTATCTTTCTCTCAGATGTGAATTTAATCTTTGCTTATTTTTATGTTTCATAACTAGCGGCTGTTTCTGTAACCCTTGTGTTGATTTCTCACACATAGTCTATGTGATACCTACCCTTCATGAGTAATCCTTGTGTGTTTTGCACGATTTGACATAGAAGTTCTCTGCTAATCAAAAACTATTGCTGCTGTGATGTTTGTGTGCTGTGAAATGACCCCCAGTCAATGAAAGCCCCCTCCAAAACATCCCTGCCTACACCTACTGCTTTGTGACCTTGTTTCCTGCGGGTGAAGGTGGGAAAGAACATGCTTACCTTTGAGCAAAGAGTTGTGTGGCCGTGGGTGTCAATAATATCACCAGAACTTAGCTGTGGTGTTGCAGTGCCCTTTTGCTGGCTTTCTGTGCAAGCACATATCTGTAATAGCATCATTTGTCGCAAAGATCTCACTTAGTTTCTTCCTCTCAGGCGTGATACGTGATCACTGAATCTTGAAGTCATTCCTCAGACAAGTCATCTTGCCTTTGATGAAGATTTGTAATCCTGGAAGGGCTGTTCAAAATCTTTGCCAGTATTTTTTCATGTTTGGAGGTATTAATGATGTACAAATTACTGGGTTCAGTACTGGCCAAGCTGCTACAGTCTATTTTATATGTGAAGTAAATACAAATGATCAAAGCAGAACTTCTGGCTTGAAAATGTGCAAATGCTACCATGATCAGCCGAAGTGATTGCAAGGCATGTATTTGTTTAAATACTTAGTGTAGCTGCTGACCCTCTGGCATCATCTCCCTCTTTCATAATATCCATGGACATTTTGACAGGTTTGCATTTGCCAATGGAGCTCCATCCCTACTGTGTCCCCAGGCATGATGTATTGCATGGTTTGGGACATGGGACTGATTTCTTACACGTGTCCTCTCTGACTCTTTAGGAAGGATGGCAGCTATTGAGGTTATTATGTTGTTACCCACACTCTACCCATGATTGCAGCACAATCTCAGGCTCTTGGATGCTGTTTCAGAAACAGCCAGTGAGGTTGGCTCTGCATGGATATGTTGAGCTGAATTTGGAGCAAACACCAGTCCCTGCGCTGCATGTAATCAGAAGATGCTTCCAGTGGGTGAGATACTGGAGGAGTGCTTTGGCCATGGCAAACTACGGTATCTCTCCAGATTCAAATCCACACCCCCAGCAAATGCAGAGGTATGTTTTCTATCCTGCAGAGGCCACGTCTATTAGCATTTGTGTCTTCACTTTTTTCATCCTTCATTTTCCTTTTCATAGTCTTATTTTTCCCAGTCAATAAAAATGATTTTACTCTTCTTAATTACTTTATTTTTTTTAATGTTTCCCATAGTAATTAATGCACTTTTCTTCAGCACTATAACCTATTACAGTAGTTAAAATATTAAATCATGACAGCTGCCAGATCTAAGGGACCAAGAAACATAGGTTCTTCGATAGTCACTTTGTCTTTATCTTTTAAATTAGTTCACAGACTGCTTTACATTTTTGGGTAAGTAATAACATTTGTTGATTTGAATGAAGAGCGATATAAAAATAAATTGCATTGTACTTTTAATTACACAGCCTTAATTTTTGTGGTGACACTCCAGGCTCTCATATAATGTTGTTTAATGTTTGCGTCTCTTTATTGATTTGATAATTTAAATACAAAAAGATTGTTTAATTTGCAAATTTCTGCATTCAGCCTTGGGGTGCTTTGTTGATTAAGGAATCAGAGGAGTGCTGTCTTTTCCCCCATCTCCATCATGTACACGAAGGCTTTTATGTTCCACACTTGCTTTTTCTCAGGCCCCAAATCCCAGCTACCAAGATGATTTTCTCCAATGCTCTGAGAGTGGAATCCTCCCCGTGCTCAACGTTTCAGGCTAGGGTATGAAATAAACTGCTGCTCCAAGGGGACCTGGTTTTTGGAATCCTTGGAGTGGCTGAAGATAGCAAGGGGTAGATCAAGAGTTCCCATGGGATGTGGTGGCCTTGGCAGGTTCTCTTTCACTCAGGAATTCAATGGCCTCGCAGGTTCAAAGTGGTTAGAGACCATCCATCCTCTGTGGAGGACATGGTGCAAAGAAGACCTCAAAAAAATCCATGGAACCTGTAGGAAGAGTCCAGTTTGGTGGGCTCCTTCAGTTTCTGATTTTCTGCTCTGTAGGTATTTCAAACCTTCCTTTCTCCAACCAAAATGACATCTCTAAACTAACTCTTCCATCCACCTCAGCTCTCTTGGAGAGAAGCCACAGGAACTGTTCCATGTTAACCTTGGCTCTGTAAGCCACTGTGTCAAAACCCATCTATAAGGGCTGCTTTTGAGATGTTTGTCTTTCACTTTCTGCCGGTATGTTACAGACTTTCTAGAAGTTCAGCAAAATTAAACTTTTCTTTCAAAATCTGTCACCATAACACTGTTTTCCAATCTCTCTTCATTAATGATTTACTTTCTGTGGAACAAACGCACCAACTGAGGACAGAATCATTATTAAAATCTCACTTAACAACACAGTATCATTTTCGTCCTTTCATTTCCTCCATTATTATAAAATTCAAGATTCATTTCATCTATTAATATTAGTAATCTATTTTTTTTTTTAATTTTGACTAGACACAAATTAAAGGGGGGAATGATATTATGAAATTGACACTGGAACTTACTCCTTTTTCTGTAAAATTTGTTTTTTTTCCTTTCATCACTTCTCTCCTAGCATCTAACATTTGCTTCTTTTGCATCCCAGAGGCATTGGTACCTGGCACTACTCCCATGGATGTCAACTGGAAGAGGCCAATAGACTTCCCTGGAAGGTGATTAAAATCCAGCATCGGTGAAGAGCTGAAGGCTAGAATATGGGTTTGGGAACAAGGGAGCTGGGTTCTGGTCTTAGCCCTGTCAAGAATTGCTCTGTGACCCTGAACATGTCATTTCATTTCTCCATACTGCAGTTACCATGTGTTTAAAATAGGGACAAGAGTGTTTGCTATTTATTGTTCAAGTCTCCAAGCAAATAAAACGTGGTATTTAAGAGCTAACTAAGCAAGAAGGCACAGATCCTACTCACTGGAAATCTGTCCTAGAGTAGCAGCAGGCTGTGAGAATGGGGCAGAACAGAGATGCATTTTTCATAGAGCTTACAAATTGCTTCTGTTCCTTTTATAACAGATCATTGTCAGTGCGTTCTAATGAGATTTTCTTTGTGCCACTGTAACACTAAACATAACTGATTTTTATTTTTTTTTTCAGCATTTCACACAGAAAAGCTCTGCTCTTGTGCAGTGTTTGCTTATCAGAGATAGGTTGGATTTGTAATGCTGTAGAATAAACAATTTCCGTGGTTATGGCACACCTATTTGCTAGCCTGTGTCTGTACCACCAGCCCTAGGAGCTGCACATTAGCTAAATATGCACTGGACTGCTCTTGCAATCCCTTTCATTGCAGATGGGGGTTACTACTGTTGCAGGACTTCACAAACACTCAAGCAGTGAATTCTAATGATTCCATTTGCAACTGGAAAAAACAAGACAAGAAAGTCTGACAAAGCCCTCCAGGAGGCCCCTGAAACCAGTGGTCACAAACCATCCTGCAAGGCCTTTGACTAAAGCTTTCTGCAGTGAAAACAGTGATGTGTCCCTATGCTAAACTATTCATAGCACTGGGAAGTTTCTCCTGATGTTGTCTGTTGAAGACAAAGCCCTTTCCTCATCCTACTTGCAGAAGGTCATGGAATCATAGAATTGTTTGAGTTGGAAGGGACCCTTAAAGGCCATCTGGTCCAACTCCCCTGCAGTGAACAAGGACACCCACAGCTCCACCAGGTACTCAGAGCCCCATCCAGCCTGAGCTTGGGTGTACCCAGGGACAGGGCAACCACCACCTCTCTAGGCAACCTGTGCCAGTGATTCACTACCCTTATACCCAGCTTTCCTCATACCCAATCTGAATCTCCCCTCTCAAGGGCACATTGTACCACTCCTCTTTGGATTTGCCTCACATGTGTTTGGCAGCCTGCTTTGTCCCCCCCTCAGACCACACACTTCTCTCCCTGTCAGCTTTTCCTCAAAGCCAGGTTTTCTACACCTCCAATCTTTCTCTTTGCACCTCTCTGGGCTTTTCCCAGCTGAACCATATCTTTTCTGAGGTGTGGAAATTGTTCTTGAGCCAAAGGCCCCACAATTGCCAAACTGAATGGAGAGACTGTCCTGCCTCCTGCAGGGTTCCTCTCTGCACAGGCATCCCAGCACCACTGTGATATTTTGGCAGAGCTGGATTCCCACAGAACTCGTAAACATCACAGTGCTGGATCTTTTCTGCCTGGCAGCAGCTCGGCCAATTGCTCCTCATCTCGTATTGGAGAAATTGATTTTAACTCCTCTGCCAAGGAGTGCAACATTTTAATTACTTCTATGGATAAAGCCCATTGTTCCCATTCTGATCAGTACTTAAGAGATAAGTAAAGCAAAGCCTATAAGACATCCTGGAGAAGCTTACACAGGAACTCAGGCTACCAGAACACTCCCATCCTGTACTTCTGCCATACGTCCCTCATCCTCCTTGTCCCATTCCACCACTGGCATAATTTTTAAATCTTCCTCCTCTGCCCCTTATTATTGATTCATATTCAGATCTGGTGTTAGTAGTTGCAATCTATTTAGTCTGTGACAGGAGAATAATTATGTGTCTGTGTACTATCACTCAGCACAGTTAGGATACAAACTGTGGTATCTGGGAGACATTGGTCACTTGCTGGATTAGTGGCAACTTCCCTGCTGCCAGTTCCTGTTTCTCAACACAAATGAGTGACATTTGGTGGCAAAAACAAGGAATGAGATTGCTGGCCTTTGGAAGCAAGAGAAGCTGGGGGGTTATGAGGCAAACAAAGCTCAGAAATGAAGTGCAACTATCTTTCTGAAGGACAAAATCCCAATTTATTGTACACCAAGACACCTATGAATGGATAAAACCTTTAGACTGACTGTAAAATAACTTCTTTTTGGTTCTTCTGAAATCCATGGAGAAAATCATGGAATCATGAAGGTTGGAAAGACTGCCAAGTTCACCAAATCCAGTGATTGACCCACCTCCACCACAACCACTGACCACCTCCCTCAGTGCCACAGCTTCACAGTTCTTGAACCCCTTAAAGGACAGTGACTCCACCACCTCCCTGAGCAACTTGTTCCAACTCCTCACCATTCTTTTGGAGAAATTTTTCCTAATATCCAACCCAAACCTCCCCTGGCACAACTTAAAGCAATTATCTCTCGTCCCATTGAGAGAGAGGCACTATTAGTGCCCACCATTTCCTGGCATTATGACCAGCAGGGCTGGTTGCTCTCACTTCTGAATGCATTTCTCCCTGATAACATGCCAAAATATCCAAGAGCTGAAGGCTGGGAAGCAAAGTGGTTTCTTTTTTTACAGGCAGCAGTACCTTACCTGCACCCATATCAGCAGTGTGTCTCTCCTGTCTCTCTAGAAGATTGATGGAATAGTGATGGAGAACTTAACTGAACAGCTTTCACACCTGGTACTCTTATGATACACAGAATGCTCTGTGCTTGGAAGCTAAGTAAACTGCTGCAGATGGCATATTAGGACATCTGAGTGCAAAGCAGCTGATAGGAGGGTGAACCAATAAGACCAGTGTGGGTGCCTGTGAAACCTGGGACTTGTATGCATGAGCCCATCAGGGAGCCCTGCAGCATCCCAAGGTCAGGCAGTGTAACCAGGAGGGCTGAACAGAGAGAGAGGACAGACGAATTGGCCCACTTTGGCTGTGGGAGACTAACGAGAGGTCCAATACACACTGCCAAAGGGAGGAGGATGGACGGGATGACACCTGAAGATCCCTTTCAATGCCACCTCTCCATTTGTACTTCACTAGCTGCCAGTGCATGGAGATGGGTCTCCTCCAGACAACTTAGCTCCCAGTAAGCAAAGACCATCACCCATGATGCAAAACAAAAACCTGGACCTGATACAAACATGAAAAATCACTGCACCAGAGATGCTCAGTTCATTACGCAGTAAAACATAACTGAGCAACGTTGCAATTTGAAGCTCAGTGCATTTGCCTGGCTCTATACATACTGTGGTCTTGAAAGCTTATCACCTCCTGCTAATGGCAGTAGAGTATTTGCCACAAAATTTAATTAATTACCTTGTCTGGGAGGAAATTTTTCCTGATTCAAACCTCCAGGAGTGCAGTGTAGGATGCATTTGGCCCCACTAGGCATTCTTATACTCTCACCACTGAAATCCAGGTGATAATCTGGGACAAACTCTAAAAATACAGTAGATGCTCTGGGACATGTTTTATTGGTCCTTCTACACGTGTGTCAGAAAGCACAAGGCCACAGGTAAGAGCTGAAAGCCAAAGCTCAGTGTGGTCCAGCTGGATGCAGAGAGGTTGGATGGCAGCAGGAGGGATAGGGATGCTCTCGGTTGAAATATCCCTGCTGGCATGGACGATTTCGGTGGCACGATGCTTCCATACGAACCTTCTCACTGTTAAATTGCAAATGGTTTAATAAAGCCAAGTCCAGCTTTTTAAATAAAACTTGGAATTTGAAGGATGATGCTCTTCTGCCAACCGAACACCTAGGGAGGGAGGAAGGCGAGGGAGCTGGAGAGATGAGTGTTTGGCTCTGTGTTGCTGTAGTCAACATACACACTGCAGAGTAGCTGTATTTTCAGGTCAAATATCAACAACTAAAGACAATGTGGGCAAATTAATAGTCTGACAGTGATAGGAAAAGGGGAACGTTCTTAAACTAAAAAGAGAGCAGATTTAGGTTAGATGTTAGAAGGAAATTCTTTACTCAGAGACTGATGAGGTGCCCCATCCCTGGAGGCACTCAGGCCAGGTTGGATGGAGGTGTCCATGCCCACAGCAGGGGTGGAACTGGTTGGGCTTTGAGGTCCCTTCTAACACAAGCCATTCTATGATTCTGTACTACACTCATTTACATAGGTTGGTAACTGAAGTGGGTGGTGGGACGTGTCTATGGGAAGCAACCAAGTGTGTTCTTTTGATTGAAGGAATGATGCACTCCTGGGCTTCAGACACTGCAAAACCCCATGGGATCTGCTGGCAGGCACCCAAGGGAGTGCAGCATTTAATACTGCCCTCACACGCTGTGCCCAGCGATGCTTCATGCCTTGCCCTCCAGCTCAGCTGTGTCAGCATCATCACAGAATCATCGAATGTATTGTGTTGGAAGGGACCCATCCAGTTTTAACCCTTCCATGGGTAGACACCTCCTACCAGACCAGGTTATCCAAAGCCCCATCCAACCTGATACTGAGCACCTCCAGGGATGGGGCATCCACAGCTCTCTGGATAAAGTACAGTGAAGAAAACACCTGAAAGGAACCATGTGCATGAGGCAGCCCGCTGGCCCTTTGTCCTGTGTTAAAGATAGAAAATGCAGCCCTTCACCAATTAAGCACACACCATCATTGCAGTCAGTCATATGATGCCCATAATCCTCCTTGTCTGAGCACAGAAGTCTCCATGCTGAGCATGGACGTGCTCTGGTTCCCGGCTGCTGGCAGGGTTGGGGTGTGGATTAAGGCCGGGACTCTGCTTTTTTTGGGAAGCTTTATCGTGTGGCTCTGATGCTGCCTGCTGCTATTTAAAATACAACCCCCCCCCAAAAAAGGAGGGGAAAAAAAAAAAGAAAAAAGGAAAATACCAAATTGTGGATGTTCACAAAACTGTCGGTCTAGGGGGCATCTCAGGAACAGACCCCTTTGCCTGCTGTATCCTCTGGAGCTGTCAGCACCTGATGCCTCACTCCATAGCCTGGAGCTAAGAAAAGCCCTGAAAGCAGCAGTGTCTGCCCCATCCCTCACTATTTTTACTGGCCTTGCTGAAGCCAGAGCACAAAGGGCAAATTTGTCAGCACAGGGGGGGCTTTTTTAGTGCAAAATCCACGAGCTTATTCAGGCAGCGGCAGGGATGATGCACAGGAGCGTCTGGAGGTCCTGGCTCTCATTTACAGCTGCTGCAAATATAGAAATTCCAGTGAAGTTAATTGTAGATACCGACTGACAACTTAGGACGCTGTTATACAAGGGCTGCTCCGAAAGTAATGCCTCCTATTTTGTAATGCGGGCCCACCATATCAGAGGTGGATGTTGGTAGGATGGCAAAAAAGGTTGAACCTTCCCAACCATATTCTAACTACATTTTGTTGCTGTGTGACAGATGGCAGCAGAGGGGCAGTCTGACAGAATGGTGTCTGACATGGAAGTGCCTATGAAGCAAAGATGTGGAATTCAACTCCTCCATGCAGAAAAAAATGGCTCCCATTGACATCCATCAATGCTTGCTGAATGGCTATGGAGACCAAACAGTAGATGTGAGCACAGTGAAAGTCAGACTCCCAGCAATAACCCCATCATAGCAGCTGTGAAACAGTGGGTGCAGATTTGTATGAGCGTGGCATGCAGACTTGTTCATGACTGGTGAAAATGCATAGCTAATGGTGGTGCCTATGCTGAAAAAATACTGTTTGGTAGCTGAGGATTTGCACTATCAAATAACGTTATTGAGCTCTTTGTATCAGTTGTAGTTTCCATGGAAATAAATAAGAGGCATTACTTTTGGAGAGACCTACGTGCTATTAAGACCCCACTCCATAGAACGCATTACTGGGAAGGACATTGATGGCACGACAGGGAAAGCAAGAATTTATTAGCTGAAGGTTACTCACATAAAGTCATGCACACGTACCCATATACACATTTCTGTTTCTCTTATCCAGGCATTTTGAGAACTGTGCGTGCCTCCTATCCCACCCACAGCACTGTGTTAGGAACCAGTATGGGAAATGCAGCCAGAACACCATTTTGCTGCCTTGGGTCCCCCAGTCCGTGCTCCTCACCTGTTGCAGGCGGGTTTTGCTTCACAGGGCTACAGAGCAATCAGAGAGCTGCATCACTGACCTGCACCCTGCAAAATAAATCCACATCAGCGCATACAGGAGGAGATAAAGGAAACGCCGGTCCCTTCCCTCTGTATTTTCCGTGTTTTATAACACCTCTGTCAGCATACATTGCCATTCACTGCAGAAATTACATCTCACGAGTGCTACAATATAGGATTTGAAGATAAATGACACATGAGCAGCTCAGCTCTGTGCCGGCTTAAACGATCCCAGTACCTTCATCACGTGCAGGATATCGGGATGCACAGAGCCCGCTTGTTCCAACTATCATGAGACAAAGACTGAGTGTCATAAGGACTCCGAGCAGCACAAAATCATCCGGGACAGAATGTATTTCAGTGTCCAGGTCTGGAGCTCCCAGTACAAGAAAGACAGAGAGCTGTTGGAGAGGGTCCAGAGGAGGCTCCAGGAGACTGGAGCACCTCCCCTATGAGGACAGGCTGAGGGAGCTGGGCTTGTTCAGCATGGAGAAAAGAAGGCTGTGGGGTGACCTCATGGCAGCCTTTCAGTACCTAAAGGGAGCCTACAAACAGGAGGGGAATCAACTCTTGGAAAGGGTAGATAACAGCAGGACAAGGGGAAATGGTTTGGAGGTGAGGGAGGGAAGATTTAGGTTGGATGTCAGGGGGAAATTCTTTACAGAGAGAGTGATGAGGTGCTGGAACAGGCTGCCCAGAGAGGTTGTGGATGCCCCATCTGTCCCTAGAGGTTCAAGGCCAGGTTGGATGGGGCCCTGGGCAGCCTGGTCTAGCATTGAACGTGGAGGTTGGTGGCCCTGCATGTGGCAGGGGGTTGGAAATTCATGATCCTTGAGGTCCCTTCCAACCCTGGCCGTTCTGTGACTCTGAAGGAGGGCTTTCAGACCGCCAGGGGCAGTGATGGCACGTAACCCTAAGCCTAACCGCTACCTCCCTCCAGCCCCATTTCCAAACACAATGAAGGTTGGTGAAGTTCTCAAGTGTCCTCGTGCCTGAGCTGTAACATTCCCATGCGCCATACAGCTCCTGTGCTTTCAGGTTGCAAGAGGTGAAAACATGTTAGCTTTTCAGGCGGGTAAACACCTCTCTGTGAAACAATGTAAGCGTGGTGGGCTGCCGCCCAGGTGCTCAGGGAATAAAGGAGAATCCGGGGAATTGCTTACAGGGGGTCAAAACTCACAGGGCACAAATTGGGATGCTGGGAAAGGGGCTCCGTTACGGTGCTGTGATTGAAACCCTGGGCAGCCTGGTCTAGTATTAAATGCAGAGGTTGGTGGCCCTGCATGTGGCAGGGGGTTGGAGATTCATGATCCTTGAGGTCCCTTCCAACCTGGGCCATTCTGTGATTCTGTGATTGGGGAGCATGACCAGAGGGTTGTGCTTCTCTTGGTCAGAGCTGAAAATGAAGGATGGA